TCTCTGGCGAGGCCTTTGGTTTCTTTGAAAAATAAATATGCCAAGGCTCACACCGAGATGAAAGTTGCTAGAGAGGCTAAGGCCAAGACTTACGAAGAACTTCTTAAGGTGAAGGAGGATTTAAAAATATCTAAGTCTGAATATGTTTCTCTTGAGCTTTTGCATGCCAATAATGTCCAATCATTGAAGGATTTTAAGATAATGTTTGAGCGCACTGAAAATATGTTAAAAGAGGCTGAAACCGATGTTCTATATTATCAAGCTGAGCTGGAGAAGTCGGTATTGGGCTTTTTCAACAATGCTTTAAAGCAGATTAAGATCCTTAACCCTGGCATCAAGCTCAACACTGAAGGCTTGCATCACATGGCTTACATTAGTAATGGGAAATTAATCCCTCCTTCCCAATCTTCTACAGGTGACTCTGTAACTCGGTTAGAAGGTGACCGGAGTGAAGAAGAGGAGGAGGTTACTACTGGGGAGGTTGTTGGGGTAGGTGCCGAGCAGCCTGGTCAATTGGAGAAGCCTGCATAGTGAAGAGCCGGGATGTCAGTTTTAAATTGTAGTTTCTTTTTCGGGGCCTTTGAGCCCCTTTTAGATTTGTAATGAATATTTCCGGGTTCTTACCCGATTTTTTCTTTTAATATTCTCTGATACTTATATGCATTTATTTGTTTTGTGCCCTTATCATAGCTTTATCCTGATAGTATGCTTTTATACGCCTAGACTTTTAGGATTACTGAGTAACTTAGATATACTTTCAAGTATTTTAAACCATATCAAGATTATTCCATAACAGGATGGATTGTCTCATTATATCTATTAACTCGGATATAAATTTCGAGTACTATTGCTAACCTAGCCGTGGTCAAATTATATTATACGGTGTAACACCCTGTATATATCCGGTAATGTTATCATACTATCGTATTAAGCAGCGCTTAATAAAAAAATGCGGAATATCTTTTTCTTTTCAATTATGATGTCATTATCATTACCAACTTGCTTATTAATCAATTAATAAAACATCGCCTGTATGTAATTGCAATAAAACATCTATCTGAATATACCTCATAACATATATAATAAAAGTGTGGCTCTAGTCACGGAACTACAGCAACGTAGACCGGACCATCTAACAGTTTATACAACTCCAATCTAAAATACTAACATAATGTGTCATGGACAATCCCCATGCTCATTCAAATAAGGCAACACGCCCAACATCAGTCTCAACAACAACATAAGCATAAATAGGGAAAAACATAAACAGCATACATATCCAGTCATGGCAGCAATACAGCATAATATCATCAACTAAGCTCTGGCCTCCTGCCGCCAGAGGCATCAGTCACCAAACTACCAGAACCTGAAATAAGCACTCCCCAAACGTGGGGTGAGATCTCTAAACAAGAAATCTCAGTAAGACAATGGGTCCTCAAGGATCTTCTACCCCAAGCTCACTTACATGTGCAATATAAGTTCAAAAACAGTTTATCATCATCAGTTCTAAAATAGTGCAATGCAGCAGATAATCATGTCATGTGTGTCAATTCTATTCTACTGGCCAGAGAAATGCAGGATTTACATACGCTAAATACTCACACTAGTGCAAGACGCTACTTGCATTCACCCCGGATCACCATATCGTATGACGCCACATACTCAGGTTTACCGTCAAGATGAAACAACACATGCATATTAAAAGCCATTACACATAAAGCTCAACAGCATTTCAAATAATCAAAGCATGTAACACAGCATGCATACAACCATACCCCCATGGGACATGGTAGAACCACAACATGGCTAAACCGAGGACACGAAAGCTTACCTTGCAAGCTAACTCCCAAAGCCAAGAGTCCACAGCTCAAAGTCCAAACACAGCAGATTCACAATCTGTTATGGAACAATACTATATCAATAATAATGCAACACAAGCATATAACTTAAAGACAACGTCTTTCCTTACGTTTTACGTCTTAAGGCTCCATACCAAACCATAAGCCCTTAATCACTTGATTCTGACTTAATTCATTAATTACAGAAGTTCAATTTCATCAATCTAGGGTCCACAAACCCCCAATAGCCTACTGTACACATAGCACAGCTACTGTTCTACGAAATCCCAGAATATCTGGATATTCCTCGGGACCATATCCGGATATGCAATATCCGGATATCTCACTGGACATATTCGGATATGCAATATCCGGATATCCAGAATCCTATATCCGGATACTCAAAATCCATATCCGGATATTCCTCGGGCACATATCCAGATATTTCACGACAGAATGCAGAAAATGCATTTCGTGAAGATATCCTTCCAAGGTTCCATTTTTAACACTTAATTACGTTAAAGCATGCATCTTTATATTGATTAAGGTCCACACCCCAGTTGGTTACTTGATTAACCCATTAAACATGCAAAGATCACACCTTTAACCCATTAAAACACAAGCTCAAGGTAGGTACAACTCACCAAAGCTCAAAACAGATGATCAATGGCTCATGGAGCTCACCACACTGCCTCTACAGGTTCTGGAAATAAGGTGTACGAAAATGCAACACAAAGGTTGGTCCTTTCTTCACAAAGAAGCTTCTTGAAGCTTCACAAGCCAAGAACAAGGCTCCAACCTCCCAAACAACCCAAAACAGCAGCTCCACCCACCAAGGTCAGCACCCTCAACTCAGAAAAATGCCCCCAACACAATCCCAAAGACCACTCTTACTCACCACAAGTGTTTAGGAGAAGAATAAATGAAGGAAATGGCCTCAAAGCTCAAGAAATGGTGAAGGCAAGTGAAGGAGACACCAAGTCAGCAAGGAGACCCACACTCAGCAGCCACTCACGCACAAAAACTGAGGTCCTAGGGTTATGTGCCAATCATAAGGCTATTTATAGCGGTTTAACCATTAATCACCCAGTATTAACTTTAATTGCTACGCTTAGCATTTTAATCCCAAACTTTGGAATATGAAACTACACATTTTTCCAAGAATTATCATATTTTTCTTATAATTTCCTGAGCACTTTTCCGGTACGCACTTTTCAGAGCCAGTACCGGTTTTTAGCACCAGTTCTCATTATTTGGACTTGAAACTCGTTTTACAAGTCCTACATATCATTCTAGTAATTATCATGCACTTATATTAATTTTCCGGGATACTTTTTCATTACGCATTTATACCGACTAGCAGAACCGGTATCTGCACTTTTCTTCCGAAAAGCGACTTTCAGCATTATTACTCACTTACTATAATTATTAAAGCCTCATAATAATTATTAGGGTCAATTATGGAATCATTTCCTATTTTCTCATAATTTATTAATTAAATTCCTTAATTAACGGTGCGGGTTCTTACATACGGATTCTGCACTTTTCTTTGTCAGGTATTATCTGTCATGACATTTTTTATTTTAACTTAGCATTTTGCAAAGTTGCTATTTGCGAAAGTAAATATTGTTTCCTTCAAACTATAATCCAGGTTTTATTACTAGGATTTTATCCAAAGTAACGGAAATATTGTCACATGTCCGGGTTTGGTTTATTAACCATAATTTGAAACATTTTGACTTGATTAGAGTCATTATGACAAATCGCATGTTTATCTCAGACTTATATATTGATGCATCATAATCACAAGGATAATTTTTAATGAAAAACTCCTCATTTATTCAATTTAAAATATTGATTACATGAATTTGTGGATATAGTCAACTTTAAACAATCTCTAAAAAACAAAAATAATTCGCCTAGAAATTGAAAAAAATTTCAAAATAACCTTACCCGGATCTCAACTGTAATATATCTTCAGTTTATTCGCATTCCATGTTCTCTTGATAGGCTTTTCCTCTAATGCTTCCAGGTTATAAGCTCATTTACCGAGTTTCTCTTTAACTCGGTAAGGGCCTTCCCACTTCGCAGCTAGCTTTCCATCTCTGGCATTCTTATGACCAATATATGTTCTTCTAAGTACCAAGTCATCTTTTTCAAATGACCTTGGTCTTACTTTTTGGTTATATCTGGCTGCTATCAATTGCATGGTTGCCATATCTCGGCAATGTGTTGTGACTCTGATTTCATCTATCTGGTCTAACTCTGCTGCAAGAGCTTTATTATTCTCTTCTTCTTTCTCTTTAAGAGTCTTTATTCTCCTCAAAGATGGCTCTCATATTTCAACCGAGATCTTAGCCTCACATCCATAAGTAAGTCCGAATGGAGTTTCTCTGGTTGCTATTTGGATACTTTTTCTATACCCCCATAAAACAAAGTATAGCTGTTGAACCTAGTCTTTGGCATCAGCCATGTGTTTCCGGAGTCCATCCACAATCACCTTATAGCAGCTTCAGCTTGCCCATTTTATTAGGATGTTCCACATATGCAAAGTGGTGCTGAATTTTGAAATCCGCCATCAATTCTTGGAATCTCTAGTCGATTAACTGAGTTCCATTATCCGTACTATCTCGACTAGTATTCCAAATCTGGAAACAATATTTCTTTCAAAGAATCTTTGAACTTTAGCTGAGGAAATAGTAGTGACAGGTTCAGCTTCGATCCTCTTCGTGAAATAGTCAAAAGCTACAATCAACCATCGTAACTATCCTTATAACGCCTGGCCGCTTCAAGAATCAATACTATCCTCACATATTAACACGAGACTTTTCAGTATGTTTTTTCCTCACTCGCACACTTCCTGAGAAAACTTAGCAGGAGGTCACTCATTCCAGAGTTACTGCAAGTCAAGCATGCTTAACTATGGAGTTCATCCATTTCGAACTATCGAAAAGTATATGCATCTTGTTAGTATAGGTAGTACTAATTAATTCTTACCACATGCATGTCAGGCGGATCCACGGACTTCCCCTGGACCCGCCTGACAATGTAACTGTAACAATAATGGAAATCATTTATTTTATCGATGATACTCGCTAATATAAATATGTAGCATTGGGCTCTTTCCTTGTGCAGCATCACATTTTAATTCAAGTAAAGGCCATGGCTACCTCCAACTTCCAACACCGCAAACCATTCTCTGTTCTTCTACCAATCTCCGTAACCTTCTTCTTCTTGCTACTCAACAAGGTGAACTCAACAGAATCCACTTCTTTTTCCTTCACAAAATTCGTGCCAAACAACATCAATCTACTCCTCCAAGGTGATGCTCTTGTCACATCAACAGGGAAGTTACAACTCACCAAGGTAGAAAATGGCAACCCAATCTATAACTCTCTTGGTCGAGCTCTGTTTGCCACCCCTATCCACATGTGGGATAACAGCACAGGCCAGGTGGCTAGCTTTGTCACTTCCTTCACCTTTGTTATTAAAGCACCAAACAAAACCAAAGCTGCTGATGGTATTGCCTTCTTTCTTGCACCAATAGATACTCAGCCCCAAAAACCTGGTGGACTACTTGGACTTTTCAGTGACAAAAATTACAATAGATCAAACCAAATTGTTGCTGTCGAATTTGACACTTTCTATAACGAAGATTGGGATCCAAAAAATCCACATATTGGAATTGATGTCAACAGTATCAAGTCCAAAAAAACTGCATCGTGGGGTTTTGCGAATGGCGAAGTAGCCCATGTTCTCATAACCTATCAAGGTTCGACAAAAACGTTGGTTGCTTCTTTAGTTCATTATTCGCGGAAAACAAGCTATATAGTCTCTACTGCTGTGGATGTGAAGAATGTTCTTCCTGAATGGGTAAGAGTTGGTTTCTCAGCTACCACAGGACTATCTGAAAGCTTCGTTGAAACACATGATGTTCTTTCCTGGTCTTTCGAGTCAGAGTTGCCAGATAGTAACAGTGATGCTGATTTGGAGAACAACGCGCATGTGCTGCTTGATTCCATGTAGTTTCGAAAATATTAGTAATCGGTGACAGAAGAAAACTACAATAAGACCTGCAACAATGGTTACTGTCACGCTGTACAATTATAAAATCTTGACTGTTGCTGTTATCTGTTAACAAAATTGTGTTTGCTCAGATAAAATAAAACCCCTTATATTGGCTGCCACTTTAATCTTTCTACTCTTATGAAAATATCTTCAGTAATTTTGAAAAAATAGGAACCGATACATTTTTTTATCAAAATGGAAATAAAAATATATATAGTTGACTTTACCTATTTTATCCACCCCATTTATAATTAATGTTACTTAAATCCCATTTTTTCTTTAGTTTTATATAAAGGAGTATAAACCAGTGTTATTAAACCCGACCCAGGAATCGACCCAGTCGGAATACTGGGTTACTGAGTCACTGGTCGGACCGGCGGATCACTGGTCGGACCGGTTGACCCGGATATATATAAATATATAAAAAAAATATAAATGTGAACATATAAATTCAATTATATTTTTCATATCTAAAATGAATTAAATAAGGTTCACTAAATAAGTTCAAAAAAATGAAATATAAATAAATCAAAATGCACGCTATTACTATGTTAATTTAAATTGCAACTCAGAATCCCCGTAAACATACATCTCAATGACATTGAACTCATATTTTTCAAATTCAACTACTTTAAATAACATATGTCACATTTTGTTAATTTATTATTTCGCAAATTGCTTCAGTATTGGAAACTAAAATTTGAAGTAAATGTAAAAGAGTATACTAGTAAATAAAATTACAAAAAGTTTTTAAAATGAGTTCTACACTTTTTTTCTAATAAGAAGAAATTTTTTTATTTTTATTTTTTTAAATGCATGACTCGACCGGGTCAACGGTTTTGACCGGGTTTGGCCGGGTTTTGACCGGGTTTGACCGGGTCGATGCATGACCGGTCCAATGTTTAACCCGAACCGATCCGATGACCGGGTCATCGGGTTCCGGGTCGACCCGGCCGGGTCGGACCGGGTTTTACAACCAATGTGGAATAGATGTATCATGTTGTAGGGAATTGGTTGTGTCATGCTATAACACAACCAATGTGGACCCCACCACTTTCTTTTCTTTTCTTTTTATTTTAAAAGTGGTGGGGTCCACATTGGTTGTATCTATAGCATGACACAACCAATTTCCTACAACATGATACATCTATTTTCCATTATTATCTTTTTTAATAGTTTAATTGGAGTCAAATTAACAGTTACAAGGTAACATATTCAATTATAAAAAGTTGGACCAAATTGGTGAATCGAAAGTGAAAAAGATTGGGCTGGGAAGGTCAACTATTTAGAAGACTATTGAGATATATTAAAAGAGTACATGGCCAGATGTATTCAGTAGCCCAATGTTTTCATTTTCTTTTATTTCCAAGAAAGTCACGTATTAAGACTGATGGTGGATATGATCCACAATAGTGCAAGATATAACGTTGAATAGTAATTGAGAAATAAAAAAGAATCTGTTTCAAACTCTTTTCTCTCTCCACTCTTTCTCCCTCCCTCTCTCTCACCTCCTTCTCCTTCTGATTGAATAACCTCTGTTACATACAAACTCCATAAAATTAAACAAAAACAATCAATTACAAAAGTGTTGTGCAAATTTAGAGGTTAAAAAGTTATTAAAATAATTTATAATGAAGTCGAATAGTGTATGTGTTGTGCAATTATATGTCTTTTATAATAATCATACTTTAACGCATGAGCACATTATCACAAGTAATATATGATTTGTGAGTCCAAATATCATTTTCATGGAGAAAATTATAAAGCTAAGATCTATGTAAAGCAGTAAGAGTTATAATGATAGTGACCAAGGACAAAACTAAAGTCTTGATGTTAAAGAATAAACTAAGCTAAAATATTAGGATCAATTTTTTCAATATGGCAATGTCAGAGGACAATGCTACAACTATCCTCTATTAGTAACAAGAATACTTAATTGTATGTAGGGACTCCCGTCAACCTTACTATATACCTAATAACCAATCCCCATATCCCTATGCAAAACTGACTATTGAATTCATTAAGATCAAGTTTTCTACGGCTATGTCGTGAGGATCACCCTTGTACCCACAACTTAACTAAATTAAATTAACTAAATTAATCTATAGTTAAATAAGGATCAGGATTCACCTATATTCCTATAGCCCGAATCCTATGACATTTGCTGCTCCTTCCTAGTAAGTAAACAACATTATGAATAAACACTTTATTAAACAACTAATAGGAAAATAACATAGCTAAGTTTAGGCATCTATGGTTACATTACAATACAAGTACTCTATCACCAAATTCTAAATAATGTAAAACATTAGCATTGTTATAGCTATGCTCTTGCAGAAACTCCACATGTCGCCTCTCTCCACTGTCTTTCAGCTTTCGGAGAAGTGCTAGGTTCAATCGGATCCAATGATTCCTTTATTAGACCCTAGCTTCACCCACTTGATTCCTCTTAAGAAGTCTTCAACATATCATCAATGATTACACTCTCTTTTTCGTGAATGGGCTTCTAAATTTATAGAAACATGCTAACTTGGATGCCAAGTAACTTTTGAATTTGAACTCCCTTAGAAATAATCTCCTAACCTGACGCGGATACATCATGAAGCTCAGATCTCTCCTCTTGATCGCTGGAAATTACGATTTGATAGGATAGATGTTTATCTTTTATCTTTCATAACTTTCTTATCTCTTGTCCAATGTTATAGCGCCTTATCTTCTTGTTTAAATTTGAATTTGTATGCTTATCTTCTTAATTATGTTGCAGCTTTAAACACATCATTTCATTAAATGCATCATTGCTACAACATTGATATAGCTCTATCTTGCATCAAACACTTCAAAGATAGTGAACATATTTCTTATTCGCAACACATAAAGACAAGAGTAATGTAATTATCTCATGATTATAAAGAAATTATATACAATCTTAGGCACCAAATCATCAAATATAAGCCCAAAATTAACTCTCTATGGGAGAGCTAACACACTGCAAACTCAAAAAGTTGCTCATGCTCGAGCAACAAAAGTTTTCCTTCAAACTTAGCTAACATCAACTTAGTACACATTGCATCAGTGACTATTGTTGAAATACTTATAGCACAATTGCATGTGATTGTTGATCATCAACAATCCTCTTCACCTCAACTTCAGTATTCCTTGTTAGCTTCATTTCCTTAAGGCTTATTGCATTTGGCTTGATCCATGTGTGTGTGACAAAAACCTAGCTTTAGTTTGATCCACCAAAGCTTCAAACTAAGAGTCATAAGGTCTAATTGCTTGATCTCATAACTTGCCAATCCTGAATCCATCCCCTATGTATAGGAATTGAAAGAATAAGTTGACCTGAATACGAATTTTTTGTGTCGTGTTCATGTTGTGTCAGTGGGTCGCCTTGAAAATTGCTACCCCTAGGACAAAGGCCACAACATATATACGCATGAACAACAGAAAACGAAAAATCAAAAGACGAGAAATTCCGTACTTCCATGGGGGACAATCAAATGACACGAAGCATTTCTGCTACAAACAATCAAGTGACGTGAAATGTCTATGCGGCAAGTCATCATAAGGCGCGAAAGGCGAAGGAAGCTGCACAATTCTTAGCGAACAAACAACCAACAAAAAGAAGCCACGTGGATGACATAATTGTTAGTATAGTGGCACCTTCACTTCCCTTAAGGAGTACGAAGAGTCAAGACCAACACTAGCATGCCCCGATTAATAACATGTTCGCCATATGAGACAACTTCGAGAACATTTGGAGACGGAATTCACCAATAGGCTGGTGCACCAGAATAGCCCGCTATTGAGGTCGTTGCTGACGTCCCCATCTATCCACTTGGCGACCCCCCATAGGCCGTTAACAACCTCCACATAACCAGGTTCAACCTTCTTGTAACTCGAAAAAGGCGAGCTCCAAACCGACCGAACACGCCCAAAGACATATCACAACCAACACAAAGGCAATTCGGCCATATGACCCAAAGCACTGGACTCGCCCCTTTATGGTACCTCGAGCAAACCGAGACACTTCAACCCGACAACCCAAACTCTTGGACTACCAAACTGAGGGAAACTATTATAGGCCGATATAATGGGCCCTACGCAACTAGGCGCATTGTCCAGCCTAAATCTCCTCCAGGTTCTTATAAAAGAGGAGTTTCACCCCACATTTATGCATCAGAAACCGTAACGTCTTAATGTTACTGTGCATACACATATTACCCCTCATTTGGCTCCTCATTTGGCTGTTAGGCTATCATCGTGCACAATGATCTTTCACCATTTACGATTGTCTCTTCTATAGATACAGCCCAAAATTCAATATTAGCCTGTGATCCACTAGGATCAAACGGAATGGTTAACAAATATACAGAATTATAAAAATAATAAAGGATTGAATTATGAAGCATCAATTTACGAAACCAATTATCATCTAGACAATGACTCGATTTATGTATAAATTTTAAATGAAAACAACTAAATAAAATGAACAACTAATTTGAAAATTAGTAAAAATCACATTAACGTGTGCATATAAAAAATACTCGAGATTTAATTTTACTTTATTTAAAGATTTACCACATAACCAAGATAATCATTCAGTTGGTAAGGAAAATCCATCCTTAGGTTAATTAACATCCGTTTCCTTGGTCTATTGTCTCTTTAGTTTTAAATTAATTGTTTTACTTTATTATAAGAATAAAGGAATTGATCAAATCTCACACAACCATATAGTAATTAATTATTATAATACTCATTACATGTCATAGGACATTATAATATTTGCCACAAAAATTACTTGAGCTGATTCTAAATAGGAAAAAGCAGATGCAATCAAAGCATTGATAGCTAAAGACGCCAGTAAATATTTTGAGAACAAATAAACATGTCCTCTAGGAGCTTTCTTCCTCTCTTCAATTAACTAACATTGCTTCTGATTTTAAGTACATTATAACGTTGCTTTATTATATGAAAGTTGTACGCTCAACTTTAATTAGGGAGCTCAGCTACCAGCAACCCTTAAATGGCCAAAGGAATAACAGACAACTTTTCATCGTTTAAGGCTCATCAGGTGGAATACAAGTGATCCAAGTAGCAAAAGTATTCCTTTCATGATGGCTTAGACATACTACAACTCCTTGATTCTGGCTTCAGTATTTAGTGCTAAAGTCCAACATTCTCAGAATCAATGCAATTCTAACTCACAAATTTCCTCATAAATTTGAAAAGTCAAAAGCAGAGACATCCTCTGGAATTTATTTTCTCAACATATTTGACTTTATTTTTTTCATAATTTTCATTAAGTTTTATCAGAAAACAAATCTTGAAGAATGTAGCTCACTCGCTAATGTTTTCTCTCAATCTGAAACAGGTCAAAAAGCTAGAAGAATGATAAGCATTTGTGATTCACTCGGGTGAAAAACTGATACACGTATCCCCATGGAAAGGGCATACAGATCTGTGTCGCAACAGATGTGTTAGAATAGATCTGTGTAAAACTGCCCGGTAAAAATGGGAACAACAATAAATCATAGTCAACTAAGCATCCGGTTTAACATTACAGGAAGTTCAATTTAATCAGTAAAACCAAATGCAATGGGTTTTCATAATTAAAAAAAAAATGTGATTAAATCTATCCATGTAATGCCTTAATCCACTTACGCATAGAAGAGTGAATACTAAGCAGGTTGTTAACTAAAATGATGAGAGGATTGATCAGATACATATAAAATTTAGGTGTTTTGTACACACATTTCACACCTAGGCCCCATCTGGCTGAATAAAGGGGTTTGCAATCTCATCTGTACCATCAGTTGGGGACACAAGCATGACAGCAGTTCCTCTACAAACCTGTGATGCAACAAAAGGAGTAAAGTTCCAAGAGTAATAATAAATCCAAATTTTATTTCAGTAAATTCAGACCATAAGAAAAGGAAAGAAAATGATTTTCAAATATGAATGTTTGTTTTGTCATGTAGTGTAAGTGTGTAACTTCAAATTTGCAGGTAATGTTTTTTTAGTACTTGCTTTTTTACAGGCATTCACAAATACAAAAAATAAAATTTCAAATTTTGCTCATTTGAAAAGGAAAAACTGCTTTTAACTCTCCGTCTCAACAAACATTCCATATAACTCTTTCAGAAAGAATAAACAGGCTATACATTTAATTTCTCACAACTCCTTAAATACACAGAGAAACAGCCTAAAAATTCTCTAATTAGACTTTTGCTTTGTTTACGAGTAACTAAGAAGGGATGAAAAGAGAGGAAAATATATAGTTAGGAAATGCATCTGTTATGGAGCTCAATTCCAACCTTTGTCTATTTCTCCCCTTTCCCCTATCAATCTTTTCAAATTTGAACAAATAAAGTTGACATAATTATACAGGTGCTGCCTATGGTTTTCAAGTACTGATAACTGAGATACTCTATCTATGTTCAAATAACCTAACTAAAAAAATCAATCAATTTCTGATAAGACCCCACCAAAGCTGAAGGTCTACCGTAGGAGAAATATGTTGGCCCATATTGATTTATTTGATAATAGGGTGTCACGTGTGCATGCTGTGCGAGCAAATGCGAGTGGGGGAAAAAGTGTGATTAATGATTCGGTTTCAGAGGTAAAAGGTGCACAGGTAGTTATGCATAGGGGGTATAACAGTGAGGAAGGCACGCACGCATGAAGCATCTTGGAATTGGGCAATTTGGCCACCATTTGGTGATTTGGGAGGGACCAGGAACTCGTCTTCTGGGTTATTTTACATCTTCTTGTTATTATTTCCATTATACATTGTTGCTGTTTTCATTTTAAAAGAGGTGGATGTAACAGAGTTATACAGTGATTTAGGAGTATACAGATTATTTTGATCATTTACGAATTGTTATTTTATTTTTGGATTGTTTGATGTTTTTGTTGGTTGAGATATTTCGGTTCCTTACAATTTCATTTGATTTTTGCCCTTTCGTAAGACAAATACATGATTGGAGCTTGATTATCAAATAGCTCTAATAATCCCACAGAAAAATATGCTATAAGAAGGATTTCAGAGTAGCATAGCATTTAAAGTCTCCAAATAGCAAGAATCAAGGTTTTACCAAAAAACCAGGAGTAAAAATAATAGCATGAACAGGCTCCTAATCATGCAACAAAACAAACTTCAAGATTGGGAACTTTTGTATGACAAAACAATATACCCAGTTCCCTTTTTATCACTGATCATCATGTGCAACATATTATCTATCAAAGTTTAGTCATTCAAACTTTTATTCTTCAAAATAAGGCTTTGCATATAAACAAAATCTTTCCATCTATTCCAATTGACAAATGTTTTCCCCTTTTCATCTATTCATCTGAAATTCTGAATTAATATTTGTCGAACTAGCTTCTTGAATTAGACAAACAAAATATCCGTATGACAAACAGAGTTCCCCTTTCCATATGTTCTCTATCAATAAGTAGATGATTAAGAAAACGATCCAGAAGCTCTCTAATAAATGGATCAGACATTTATTCATGCAAGATAATAATCAGCATTTGATGCTCAGGTGGTAATTTATGTTTTAGAAAAAATTAGATGGGAAATAAAGAAACCTACAATTAAGCCAAGACTTCTGGTCTGATCTGTAGTTTTCAGTGGATCATCAGGATCTGCAGCAGAAAAGATGGATTTTAGTTAAGAACTGAAATGAAGATATTTTAAAAGAACAAGTAAAGATGTTATTATGCTGATAAGAGATTCAACTATTAAACTCCTTTTTTCAAAAAAAAAAAACTAAATAGTTTCTTTACAAAGGGGCACTGTTAACTCCATTCTTAATCTTTAGTATGAAGGCGGCTCATTAGTTTGATAAACTAAGTACAATAGTATGCAAACAAAAGATAGATGCACTCTTAATATGGACAGCTTTTTAGGGTTATTTTACCGATTGTTTGACTACTGCATCAGATACTATTTATAGATGACTGCCAAATTATAGCAAAATGATTGAGTTCATTATATTTGACATGAAAGGCTAAGCATATATGCAAATATGCATAATGCTGTTTATGGATTCACACTGGCAAAAAATCATAAAATCTAACTAGTATTTCAGGTCCATTTGCATGTATAGTGCTACTTATTGGTAAAGGTGCATTGACATGTCCCCTTTGTCCTTCTAAGTTGTGTAAGTGACCTTTCAAGCAGGCAATCCTAAAGATGGTGACATTTTACATATCAACAAAAAGAAAAACGTAATCAACTCTAAGGGGTTAAAGCAACATGAAATTGGGATATTTCAGCTGCTGAAAAATGATGTTAAGGCATGCTACTTTTAATTCATTATTAATACAAGCTTTTAGTCACACAAGTTGGCAGAAGTCCATTTTAGTATTTTGATAATTCATGAAATAAGCAAAAGATTTCTTGAGAGCAGAAAACTGATAAATAAATAAATAATCTATAGTTAAAAAGTTATTACGAATTTTAACATTCATTGCCCCCCAACCCTCTACCCTGAAAAAACAATCTTATTTCAGCATGTTATAGGCAAGATGAAGTCATGGACATAGTAATGACTCAAAATTCATAAATGCTAAAACATATATATCATTGAGTCACTAGATGTCAAACAAAGTGCTGGTACTATTTAGTATTTACCTCTTAGAAACTCTACAGCTTCGTCCAAGACAAGGTTAAGTAATTGGTCATATCCTTTCAGAGTTCCTGTCACTGAAATCCAAGAGATTGAAATATCCAGTTATTGCAGGGAAGAGAAGGAAACTACAAAAATGGGCAAAACAAGATCTGCTCCAAAACAACAAAAGTCAAATAACAAAGAACATAAGAAAAAATCAAGAATGCATCAATTCTTGCAAATCTCTATGCCTATCCGAAAGGTCAAATTCCTTGAAACAGTCTTAGGGATAACACAAAAGTGAAGCCATAAACATAATAATCCCATTGCAAATTTTGAGGGGGAAAATGCCCTTAAAGATGCATAAAGATCAACAAGCTCAAAATCATAAATAAATTTCTCAAAATTGCAATGCAAATTCAAAAAAAATTTAATATGATAAACTAAACTTCCAACTACAGAATCCAAACCTTGAAATACTTATAAACGATCATAACAAATTGGTAACTGACCAAAACGTTCAATACAAAGAAACATGAAAAACATGAGAATGGGTTACCTTGTCTGCCACCAGTAAGCTTGACTTGAACCCCTTTGTCAACAAATTTTGCCAAATCCAGAACCGTTTCTTTCCTTCCTGACTAATAACATGACAAAACCCCAAAAAGTGAGTTGTGTGTGTGATGCATCTTTGCAGAGACTGCATATTGAAGAGAAAGAAACTTACCATGTCTCACTCGGTTTGACTCAACTGCTCCTGTTGAACTTCTCCTGCATCACAAAGAACAAAACTTTACACAGCAGTCACGTAAAGGTGTAACCAATTACATACAGTACATACCCAGCGACAAAAACAACTTTGAGAGAGAGAGAGTGAGAGAGAGGGGTTTGTTGGTGGGTTGGAAGGAAGAAGGTGAATTTGTTTTAGTTTCGGTGGAAGGACTATAAACAGAGCCCTAGCATTTTTATATACCCGCACTCAACCGAACCTGAGTCCACAACCTAACCTTTTTTTTTTTTTTTTTTTTCAGGGAGAGGTTATATTTATGGCTTTAATAATTCTGAAGTGAAGGTGGATAATTATCTACGTTCGTTCTTAAAAAAGATTATTGTAACTCTGAAATAAATTATAATTACAAAAATATCTTGATTTCTGTCTCAAAACGACGTCGTTTTGGATTCACGGTAAATAAGTTATCTACATTGATGGTAAAAGAAATGAACTCTATATTTATTATTTTATTTTTTTATTATCTTTTATTATTAAATTTTAATCGTTTATTTTCGAAATTTGATGGTTATAATTTATTGAAAATTAATAATAATTAATAAATATTATCCAATAAATTACAACTGTTACATTAATAAAAATTAACGATTAAAATTTGATAGTAAGAGATAATAAGAAAAATAGATAGTAAGTATAACTTTTCTTTTTTTATATATATAAATAAATAAGGGTTAGTTTTTTTTATAGTCAATGTATATAAGTTATTTACACTGAGTCGAAAACGACGTTGTTTTGAGACAGAAATCAAGGTATTTTTATAATTATAATATATTTGAGAGTTATAATAGTCTTTTTATTATAATTTTTTAATATTTATCTCAAAATGATGTCATTTTAGTAATGAATATAAATAACTTATTTACCATAGCTTAGCAACATTAAAACCAATAAATAATTATCACATTTTGATTAAGCACTCTTTTTTAAGGGCATCAATTGGGTTGTATTAAGTCATAAATTCGGGTTTCACCCCGTAAAAAAAAAAAAACGTAAATTCACGAGCTTTTTGTTAATTTAAATTAGTTTTAATTTGTTAATTGCTTTGAGTTAAAAAATTAAAAATTAAAAACACCATAATTTTATGGTTATTTTTTGTTATTTACTCCCCTACGGTTAAATTAAATTAAATCGTCCAATTTATCCTTGTAAAAATAATCATTAGGGAGATGAGAATTTTATACTTTTATGTTTTTTTTTTTAATCCAACTTTGATTGTTTTCTAAAACTTGTATGAAATATGTACCAAAAAAAAAAAAAAAACTTGTACCAAATTGTTAAAAAAATCACAACAATGTTAAGAGAAAAATTTACAGTGAAAGTTGTAAGTTAACAACTAATTTTAATATTCCAATATATAATATTCACAATATTGTTAGCAAGAATTAATGCTTAGAACTGTAATTTTCCTTCTTGTAAATTTATATATCTTTAACAAAACTAACTCGAGTTATATAAATGTATTAATACCTTAAATTTAATAAATAAAATTAAAGGTTATTTAAGTAATCAGTTTATATGTAAATATATTTTTTATTCTGGGTTCAAAATTATATTTAAAAAAATGTGAGCCAAAAGATAGGTAACAAGGAAAATAAAAATATTGGAAAAATACTAATATATTAAGGAGTAATTGGTCTATTGATATACAATACTCGGTAACATTGCACCTAAAGCTATGAGCGAATATTCATAGATAAGAAGTGAATTGATCATGAATAAATCATGAAAATCTAGCAAAATTTAAATATATGAGGAGTCGATTTAGTTAAAATAAAAAGAGTTTAATTAGCTCTTCATTTATTATAAATTGAGTTAAACGATGAGTTGATTGTGTTAAAATACAAATAACATAAATTAAATTGAACTCTTGCTAACAATAATTGTGAATAAAATACAAGTCAGTTTTATTAAAGATATATAAATTTGCAAGAAGAAAAATAATAGTTCTAAGCGTTTATTTTTGCTAACAATGTTGTGAATACTATCTTATTGGAAGATCGAAATTACTTGCTAATTTGCAGCTTTCATTGTAATTTTTCTATCAACATCGCTCGGATGAAAAATTTGTTGATAGGTTGGTATAAATTTTTAAAAACAATCAAAGTTGGATGAAAAAAATAACATTGCAAAATAAAATTCTTATCTTTACAATAATTATGTTTACGAGGATAAAATAGACTATTTGATTTAATTTTTAACAAATTTAGAAGATGGAGAGGATGGAAAAAATCGGCTTTTTGATCCTTTTGCCCCTCATTAATTAATTAATAACTAATTTGTCCCTGATCCAGAACTATCCACCAACTTGCCCCCTTTTAGTCGACTACCTTGCTTTTTTAGTCGAGCAAATGGTCAAAATTCAGAATGTGGACTACACCAAATTTAGTCGACTAAAAAAGCATCTTGATCGACTACATTTTTTGGATATTTAGTCGACTAAGGCACGATATTTAGTCGACTAAATATCGACGGATTTGTTTTTTAAAAACCCCTCATTCGGCAGAGGGGTGTAGTAAACCTAATTGACTAAGGAGGCGGCCCAAATCCCAAATCCGCAGGAGCAGCTGAAGAATGCCCCAAACCCCTCTCTCAGGTGTGTGGATTGCACCAAAATCACGGTCCAAATCGTGAAATCTCAAGGATAGGTAAGGTTTCTTAACTTGCATTATGTTTTAGGTTTTGGAATTTTTTTTATTTGTTTGCTGTCCGAATTTTTGAACCCTAATCAAATTTTTTGTTTTAGGTTTTGTAACCCTAATCTACTAAGGTTTATTTTTTTGCATTGTGTGAATTTTTTTGTTTGAAAAGTTTGTATGTGGGAAAAGTTTGCTTTTGATTTACAGCCCTTATGTTGCAAGTTTTCATTACCATCATGACATGTTTCATATAGTTAAATGCTGACATGTTTCATTGTAGGTACCCTAAACAAATGACGGGCCGCAGAAGACCAAGCGATGAGGGCAATGAGTCACTTGAGAGACGCACCAAGAATAGGCAAGAGCGGCCTTCTTCGTCAAGGCCACAAGACGAAGAGCCTGATACTGTTGACCTCCCGTATGGGTACCTGTTTGAGGACGACCTTGTCATCCACGCTTCATTCGTACGTGACCATTTGAACCGGCCGTTATGTGCTCCAAAATCTTTGGATACAGTTTTTTTTGCTAAGGAGGGATTTGAAATTGTGGGGGTGTTGGAGGCAACACATATGATGGTGTTGGCCGAGACCCTATGTCCGTATTCAGAGCTTATGGTGCGGGCCTTCTACCATAACCTCAGCTACGTACAGGGCGAGCTAAAGTCGAGGGTCTGTGGAATAGAGATCATCATGACGGCACCTGTATGGTTGGAGATACTCGGCTATGATTTTGACTCTTCTCAGACTGTGGCTTATGACGCTGATAGTGGTGTAGTACTTCCAGGATGTGTACGAGAGGATGCCGTGCAGGAGCAGAGAAGAGTCCGTGGGGAACACTTGCACTATACGGTGGGGTTACTTTCTGTGGAGTCCGTATACTACACTATGTCCTCACCCACGTTCTGTTTCTGCGATCTTTTAATCATTCCAGGGTGTTGGAACATGACATTCTCATTATGTGGGCTATCCGACATGCCCAGATGGTGAACTGGAGGCACTATATCTGTTGGTTTATGTTTAAGGCCAAACATAAGGGTCATCTTCCATACGTCTGTCTGGTACAGAGGATATTGGTTCACTTTGGTGTTCCCATGGAGACTGAGCTGTTGAAGAAGACCACGGGCTATAATTGCAAGTTCGGAAAGCGTCTATTGGAGCAATGCAAGATTACTAAGAACACAAGATCGGGTGTGTGGGAGTTCAGTGGTATGCCCCAAGTTGAGGTTCCTTATGTTGCCCCAGATGACCACATTGTTGAGCCAGAGGCGGAGGATGAGGATGAGGAGGAGGATGTGGCTGAGTTTGAGGAGATAGCTGAACCTGAAGGTGGATTTTCACTGCGTGATGTCATGAAGGGCATAAATGCAATGACAAATAAGATAGGAAAGATGGCGCTGGCACATAAAAAATGGAGAAAGAAAGGGAATGAAAGGTTTAGACACATACAGGGAAGGTTTAAGGGTGTGGAAGACAGGCTTGCTCGTCTGGAGCTTGCAAGAGGTGGGGAGGTAGCTGAGGCAGCAAGGGATGAGGGTCATGTGTCAGATGAGGACGACTCGGAGACGGACACAGACGGGGATGAGGAGTAGATTTAGGGTTTACATCATGTTATTATGTTTTGTTCATGTATTTCCTTGAAGTTGTTGATGTCCCGTAACTTTTTTTAATGAATGCAGAATTGTTATGTTTTTTGGATCTATGTTATGTTGTGTAATGAATTGAATTCCATTTCAATATTGTATAACTTATGAATGTAACCTTTTTAGCAATTTGATCATCACGGCACAAAACAATATTGAACAGGTCACATTCGTCCATAACACATCATAGCAAATCAGTATATGTGTTTAAAAAGGCTACATCTTGTATTGTTAACCGTAAACAAACGTTATGACAACATACAACTTCATTTCAGGAATTTAGTGTCCATATCGGTTTTTTGACTCAGAAATTATGCTCCCTAAGTCACACTCCCTTAGTGGATCAGTATAGAGTGGAAACCAAGTGCAAAAAACATGTATAAAACAGATTTGGGGTCCTAAACCAACAATTTAGTCGATTAACCTGTACTGGTGAAAGGTCCAAAATACCCGGCGAAAGACAACCTTATCCGTATACACTCGACGTTCATCAACACATTGGTCCGTATCAATCTTGAACACAGAACCCACATTAACCTGCGTCATGTATGTCAGCCAATCAGGCAAGAATGCATACGATTTATCCCAGTCGTCAAATAACTTGACAATGGCCTTCATTTTAGCCTTCCAAGCTTTTCTGTAAGATATGTTGTATCCATACAAACATTGTACCCTCTCTTGAATAAGAACTGGCTTCAATGATGGATCTTCTTTTAACATACCTATATAAAAAAAAACACCGACCAACAGTCAGAATACAAACTGATTAACGTAAACATACCTTAGGAAGTTAGATATATCGAATAATACATACTGATAATGGTTGCACATATCACATCAGAAATCCAACTGTCTATGATCTTGGGTAAGACCTTGGTTTAGGCAGGTGTGTTCTTTAACCCACT